CACTATTTATTGGATTCATTTAACATTTATAAAATGTATATTGTCGTCTATCGGTTAAACTAGTTTTAACAAACAAAATGTAAAAAAAAAAAGAATTTTCCATAATCTTTCCATGGCCTCGTTGAATATAGGCCTATTCAAATGTTTCACAAAGCACGGATACATTTAGCCCTTGAAGATTTGCGCTTTGTCTATAGAAATCATTAGGAACAATGTTCATGGGAGAGCTATGTTTCTAAGAGCTTATCTAGAAGAGTCACTTATGTCGACTTGCATGAACATATTAGCATAGCATTAACATAGCGGGGCATATCAGCAGGGCCAAAGAAACGCTTCTGCGCACCCGCTGGTGTTGTCCGCCTGAACAGCCCCGAGTTAGCAAATTACCTTTCTTTCTAACGGTCCCTTCTTGCACTTCTAACGAACTCTTCGAATTTACTGGTTGGAAGCTATGAGCCAGGAGGGTCAGTTCTAATAAGCAGCAAGCAGCCTGCTCTGTAGCTCCATCGGCCACGGGGGGTAGGATAAATGGCGCATCCCAATATCGTCACTCATCTACCTTCACTACATACGAGTGTTTTATTAAACTATGGCCCTTGGCTTCGAGAACTATGTCTTACAAAAGATATTGTTTTATAATGTCACGTCACAATCAATTACACGATGTTGTTAATCAAAAACGAAAATTATCGTTCTGAGGTGAACTGAAATTGCTTTTATACATTTTACTGTTTCCTAGACAATTTCACTTTCGTTGATAAATAAAGATATTAGGTACAGGCACTGACGTTTCCTGACCTAAATAATAACGGCACCCAATGATGTTTTAATAAAGATGACGCATGTTCATACTACGCAGCGGTTAAAAATTGTTCCGCTTTACATTATATGACATATACCAGTGAATGTGACGGCCATAGATGATACATGTATATTGAAACTGAATATATTCGGATACGGCTTTCCGTATCATAATACAGATCTGCTATCTCTATCTATAGAACTGCAATCTAATTACATTTACAATTGGCGTAATTTGACTGCTTCAGTTTCGGTGCGCTAGTCATATCTACCTATTTCGTATTTGTATGTAGGTAATATCATTGAAAGGCACTTTTTTTAAGTACCTATTATGTTTTGCTACTTTAATTAGACATCAAAAAAAATCTTAACAATAGAAATCTTGAGAATATTTGAATCAGCCGGTTTCCTTTTTGCTTTGTTTAATTTTTTTTAAAGACTAACTTACATTATTAAGATACTAAAATGATATGTCTATCTCGGAATTTCTTTGATATAACGAAATATTTTTGCAGTCGCCTAGCTTGAATATGAACTACTTACCAAATAATTTTATTAAAAGCTCATAATAATAATAAACTGTAGCGACGCTAAAATTCCTATATTAATAAAAATTCGTATCTATACTTATATATTATTATATATTAGGTATATCAAGCAAATCGACAGACGGCAAACTGTTTAGAAATCTCGACGGACGAATGTCGCGTCGTGGCGGCTGATGTAAATTTGACCTTCGTTCAGAGAATTCGAGTAGTTTTCCGCAAATAGGTTATGTACTGTAAAATCTATTACATTTAGGTTTGTTCTCGAATATTTTATACGGTGATGCATCATTCAGTAGATTAGACAGAATTTACACATTAACCTTTACAATAGATTAGTATTTTATATTTATCTATATGTAAACATTATGTTTACAAATAAACTCTTAAAATTTGTAGAAAAATGGACTAAAAGCTTTTCGCTGCTGCTAGGATTTGAAACTGCGTCCTCTTCCATTTGGATACGCGGTCGACTCAGCCACTGAGCTAAACAGATTATCTTTACACCGTCGAAAATCTCAACGTATTTTCTTTTTTTTTTTATTACTATCTAGTTTATTTCCTTTACAATAAACGACCACGTTTTCATAAAACATTTTACAATGAAATATTTATAACCTAGAGATGACACTTATTTACTATTATTAATAGACACATTACTATTATTAATATAAAAGTGTATATAACACACATAAACGTCTAATAATTTAAAATTATTACAGCAAGTCCTCGAGATAATAATTGGAACATGTTAAAATTCTTGCCGTACTAGTTTAAGAACGTAACAAGTTGTCTAAACTCGGTTAAATTATAACTTACAAGAAGGAAAACAACTAAAAAATTATAGAAATAACATTGACACAGTAAATACCGTTGGGATAAAACAAAAATTATATTATTGCCTTTACTGAGAAAACAATAGCGAGTATCTGAATCTTGTATTTTCGTGAATATTTCACACGCTTTTTACACATAAAATAATGTTAAAAAAATACTGAACTTGATGCCGGCTACCTCCAAGGATATCGCTCCAATTGTCCATTTATTTCACACGTAGGTTTATTAAGAAAGCTTCTTGAGGCGGAAATCCGTAGTCGGACTAAAAATAATCTAGTGCGAATGCACTATTATTAAATCGGCGATAACTATGGTAGGGCCACGCAAGTCTTCGCGGTTGCACGAATGGGCAGGTCCATCGAGGTACATACCACGACCTCACAGAAGACCGACGTGAAGTGGTAGTTTTATACTTCTGCGTATGTAAGGGTTATGTCATGAGATCGTACCATTCCGTCATTGAAATATTGAATGCATGTTTGTGCATGCTTGCATGCACCATATCGCGTGTTCAAAGTTCAGACCTCGACTGCGCCAATAATGGACGATCGAATGGTACCGGAAGAGCGGCGTTTTGGCAAAAGGCACCGGCATGTTCAGGTCAAGGCTGCGTCGGGTGAGGTTTAGAGATCGCTTGGTGAAAGTTGGACTTTCTCTTCTTAGTACTTTTTCAACATGCCATTATCTTTCCAATGGCCTAATAGATGAAGTGGTCACCTTGCCAAATGCAAAAATTGCATCACAAGCCTCGAAATAATCCACAGTGCTGGAAAGAAAATATGATTTTAACTGTGGCAAGGCCACGCAGTAGTCGTCTCTGTTTGTTCCCGGCTGGCCAGCGTCAAGTGGAACTGTTTTTCTTCTGCGTTTCGTCTGGTGAGTGAGTTAGCCGGTTGTTATACGGTGGCAACGTATCTGGAACCCTAAGGGTGTTGCAAATGTAATAGGGGGCGCTTATCACTTAACATCAGGTGAACCGCCGAGTGACTTAAAGGTGCAAAGTCATTTTTCACATAAAAATATTATCTTTCGTGCCCAAAAAACCTATTATTATTATCCTGTAATATAGAAAAAGACGTTATCGATTTTATAACCAGCCGTCAGAACAATTACCGCACTGCGGGACAGCATATGAGCACTTTCGTATCATTACAATTGTTTACAGTACTGTTCTATTATTATTGCTTGTACTGATAAAAAACATCCGATACCAGCGATTGTCCTTATCAATTATAGACGAAGAAAGCATTTTAAATTCACATATATAATTACGACATTCAAATTAAGTATATGCACATTATGTTTTTGTTCTCTATTCGTTTAAATAAACTTTATTATTATATCAGAAAATTCCTCTTCTCTTCAGACCGCCATTGCTTAACTTGTGAACTATTTACTCGCTTTATATTTCGTTATGTATACCTATTTACAGAGCGAAATGTATCGCTTTGATAATACTATCATCTGGAAATAGTAAATAGGGAATTAATTATATTAATAGGCTAACAAACTAGCATTTATAAATATCTAAAAGGAATACCTCTGTTAACGGTAACTACTTAATATTTTTATTTTACATTTATACACAACGTTCTCTAAGTCCCAAAGTAAGCAATGCTTGTACTTTGGGTACTAGATAACCAATAAACATAAGTTTCTTTTGTAAATAAATACATATTATACATATATAAACTAAACACTATGTTCATCACACAATATTTTTCCAGTAGTGGGGATCGAACGGTGTGGGTTCGTTAACGACTCCGTCGCAGTAGGCAGGTACACTACCCACTACGCCATTCGGGTCGTAATCATCTTTGCATTAAAAAGTATAAAATCGCCCTTCAGATAAAATTCAATCCACTCAGCGACGTTAATGCACGTTTTTAATAAAAATAAAGCATCGAACTTACACTCGCAAGCTTGTAATTATAAGAGTAGCGCGATACAAAAATTCTTTCACATTTTACTCTTATTAATTAAACTCCACGATTTAAAAAAAAAGGTTTTATTAAATTTCCTAAAGTACATATCGGATCAACAATGCACGATTATTTGAACATGGCATTAGAATTGTGAGCATTCAATGCCTCCGCAGTGTGCTACATTTTTAATACTGTTAAAATCTAAATAATGTAATTATATATATAATCTGTTAAGATAATAAAAGCGTTAGTAAAAACATTTATTTCTAAGAATTAAAACAGTGTTACAATAGAGTTAGTCAAGAGTCCCGAAAGTGTAATGCTAAATAATTATGTACTCGTCTGAGTCAAAGAGGATCTACTATTTTGGGTGTACTGTATCGTATTTATTGTTTAAATCATTAACTGCACATATAATGCGAACAAAGAAGTTTAAACCTCGCACAATTTGGATATGTTATGAACAGGTAGAACGTTGTGAAGTATAAATTATTGACGTCAAATTCTTTAAGCGTGAAACTGAATATTGGTCAGTTTTTCGTTTCCATGTCATTACTTTTTGCGCAACCTTCGGAAACAAAAATTAATTGATTGACACAACTTTCATAGAAAACGTTCACGGACAGAAACATTGATAAACAAAATATTTGAATCCTACATACCTGGCAAGGGCTCGTGGTATTGCCAGACATAAGGATTCAATTTTTTTTTAATTTATATAATTACAAATAACAATTGTGTAACAAAGCATCAGAAGGGATTTTTAAAATATTTTATAACCATGATTTTTACATATCCAATAGGTCGGGGGTGACCATAAACAACGTTAGTACCTAACAAGCGTTAAAACACACACACAGATAACATACGCCGGGCGTCACGGACGCCGTCAGTTTATATTCCTCATCTTCATCTGCAGCTCGAACCGTCGGTTCGTCCTCACGCCCTTGATGACCGTCCTGTTCTCCTTCCTCGTGACGTCCCTCTTCCCCGTGAAGGACTTCTCCCTCATGACGGCCTGCTTCGCCGCCTCCCTCCTCAAGGAGGTTGCACCCACCAGCGATGGGAGGGTGGCCTGCCTCGTCAGGCCATGGGGCCCGCCCTTCGCAGTCGGCTCGGCCCCTTTGCCGGAGACGCTGAAGGGATTCGCCTCGCAGTTCATCTTAAAGCCGAACCTAGTGTAGCCGGGGTTCAAGGAAGCCAGCGTGTGCTTCTTCGTTTCCTTCGCTTGCGACCTCTTCGGCGAGTCGGCGGCTTTATCTAGGACAAGAGCGGCATATGACGATAAACAAGTAGTCTTTCTTTCTTTATTCTTTATTGTACACAGAGTATAAGTGAAAACAAAATTACAAAAAAAAATGTACAAAGGCGAGCTTAACCCAAAAAAGAGTTTTCTTCCAGCAAACCCTGACATAAGATTGATGAGAAACAAATCATTATATTATGATAGGTAGGTGTGTAAAACTAGATATACTTATACTCTTAACTCAAAATATATAAAGAGAAAAGCAAAATAGAAGTAAACAAAATCATAAAACGTATAATACTATAAAATAATATGTAATAAATAATACTATAAAATATATAAATATAAATATAGTAGTCGTGCGTCGTTAAGTGTAAACGCTCAATCGATCTCAAGAATGGCATATGACGATAGACAAGTAGCCGTACAAATGTACAGTGCAACCTTTCATTCGATGTTCAAACGGAACTGAAATGGTTAAAGAAAATTTCTGATAATTTGGATTCAAGATAAAGAAACATTCGACATATGCACCATGGCTGGGCCTCCTACAGGGGTATACGGATATGTTTAGGCCACTACGCGACGGCACGGCGGATTGGCAGACTAATATAAAACACATCTTCCGTGTCGTTTTATATTACTACTACAAAAATATCAAGGACTTATCAAGGACTGGAATTTCCTCACGATGTATGCCCTCTCCACTAAGTACGATCCTGAGCTACCTGCATCCTATCGACTTCCGGCACATTTGAACAGGTCGTCATTCTATCTAGAGGGTGGTCGACCTAAGCTACGATGGAACTTGAAAGCATTTCTTCCCCATTGGTTATCGGTCCTTCGATATATATGGCCGGCCCATTGTCATCCCCGTCATCGTACTCATCCTCTGAGCTATATCGGCAACCTTATAGAATAAATATTCCGTATAATTCTAAATAAGCTCTCCCGACTTTAACCATAACGCGATAGGTAGAGACCATTTACCACGTCCTCCGATTACTAACTCTATGTGATAAATTTCCGTTTGAGTCTTTCATCCTTGGTAAGATAGAGATACTTCCGCCCGGTTTCTGAAATACTGATCATCGTGGATGTTAACTAATCATCCTAAAAGGATAGTTAAACTCACTGAATGGACCAGAATGAACTTTTTAATCATCAGAACGATCAATTCAAAGAGTTCAACCATCCCTTTGGCAACTCAAATCAAGTAAAGCCATTTGACAACTGATTAGTTAACATCTACAATGATCTGTGTTTCAGAAACCGGGCGATAATGTCATAATATTATATATTAAAGAATTCTATGCAATCATTATCGATCACACAATAACGAGCGTGTACCTCGTACACTACTACTGAACCAATTAAAATTCTCGCTAAATTTATCGAAGTGATACACCGGTCAATAATTACTCATACATTCTGTTATTACGCCACAACACACCTGTGTAACTCGCTATCTAATCGTACCACTTTGGCGTACAGTCGGAGTAGATAAACATAGGTTTCATTTTAGCACGCCTACGCCTACAATAAACGGGTGGCGTGGCGTAAAACACGTCATTTCTCAATTTCAAGCGGAAGCCCGTCCCTATTTTCACACAAACATACAAAAAATACAAAGACATCTACATATACACAATTAACATATGAATTTACATAACTCAGGGCGACGAACCCATGACGTATTTGCAGAGTGATCGCGAGTTGAAGATTCAATTCCTTAATAGGGATTAACTTGTTTAGCCGTAACGATAAATGTTTTCGATGCTAATCCATATGAAATTTCTGTATGTAAAACGTCCCTACAACGCAACATTATCCTACAAGTAGAACATTACTCTTTTAGCATTTGAAAAGTAGGTACTAGACTCGCAGCTACAACTCTTCAAAAAGAAGTTCAAAAACAAGTCCATTCTTTTATTGCCGAAAAAAAAACCGAGTTCAAATCTCGCTTTATATTAATTTTATAATTGATTTTCAGAACTTCCTTAAGTATCTCCGGTGTCCAAGATCAATGAAATAAACGACTACATGGGAAGCACCAGCTTTCAAATGTGAAAAATTGCCAAGCGAGCAGACGGTTCACCTGATGTTAGGTGAATACCGCCGCCCATGGCATCTGCCACACCCGAGGGTTGCAGATGCGTTGACAACCTTTTGAAGATTGCGCTCCGGCCACCTCACTCACCAGACGAAACGCGAAAGCATTATACTTCCACTTTACGCCGGTCTACTGTGAGGTCGTGGTACTCACCCGGACGAGCACGCCCATTCGTGCGACCACCGTAATAAAAGAATCCCCAAAATCGGTTCACTCCGTCGAAAGTTCTGAGATAACAATCATTAAAAAAAAAAAAGTCGAATTGACAACCTCCTCCTTTTTTTAAGTCGGTTGAAAAATAGACTGTCGAGTAACAGCCAGACCTAAAGAGAACAAAAACAGAATAATATAACACTAGTTACTAACGACTAACGTCTCGGCCCCCTCAGTATCTTGATTAGCATTCAAGGGTTAGTGCACAATTGCAAGTATGCGCTGTATCTCATCTCTAGTGTCTTCCTTAACGACATAAGCGCTAGCGTGTAATTAAAATAATATTGCAATGCGTAACATCGAACGTAGTTTAATAACACATTACGAATCAAAATATTAACGTGATTCAAAAATTAGAAGAGCCCTTCTAATTTTTAAATCACGCACTATATTTATGTATTTATCTTGTAAAACTTAGAACTTGTAAAACTGTAAAAATTATCATAGACTTTAGTTATCAGACCATAGACAACACATTCATATGGCAATCAGTCGACATAATATATGATATATATAAATAAATATAGTTTATAATTTAATAAATGAAATATAGTTTTTATATAAATTCATTGTAAATACAATAGGTGTAACTTGTAAAAGTAGTTTTTAAGTATACGTAAGATAGGCCTAAAGGACCCGATTCCAGGCCCGTTAAAATAATTAAAAAAAAAAATATGATATTATATTCCTTATCTTTAGACAATGAAAGTCGTTGTTAAATTAGAACTATATTAGAGTTTTATGAATGTATAAGAGATCCATCAATTCACGAATATGCGCCTAACCTTTAGTGTCGATTATTAGTGATCGACGCTGAAATATAATTTAATGCTAACTTAGTGGCAGCTGTTAATGTTACATACATACGTCAACATTCTAATGTTTTTACTTTTAATTACAGTGCATTAAAATTCAGTAATCGCGTCACTCTTAATTCCGTGGCACACATAGTATCAATGGATATCAAACGAATTTACAATCAATTAAATTAAAATGGAAATTAGACTCTATTTTATTAACGTTAGTGCCAGACGAGTGTGATTCACTTTGTGAAAATTATATATGACACGTTTTTTAATTAATTTACGTAAAGATATAACCATGGAAATATGAAGATATTAAAATGATGAGTGTAACGCGTACTGGTCTCATACTTTCTGTTTAGAAAACGCCTTTACCCAACAGTGGGCAAAGGATATAATGACTTATCTTTGTAACTGTATAAAGATAAACTTTAAAACTAAAGAGGGTATTTTCTACGTCAACCAAAAACAGGTATAAGAAAAATGTGAAAAAAAATTAGGCTAAATTATGTTAACATCAAGCCTCACAAACAACATATCACGTTCAGGGTTCCGCACTCAAAGTGTAAAACGGAACTCTATTACTAAGATTCCGCTGTCTGCGTGTCTGTCTGTCCGTGTGCTACCAGATTATACCCATGAACCGTGATGGTTAGACAGTTGAAATTTTCACAGATGATGTATTTCTGTTGCGGCTATAATAACAAATACAAAAATACTCCCTCCCCAAAGGGCTCCCATACAACAGATATGATTTTTTTTTCCGTTTTTATAGATAATAGTACGAAAACCTTCGTGCGCGAGTCCCGACTTGCATTTGGTCGGTTTTTATCTGCCATTAGGTAGATGGCAGATAAAAACTGACCACATATCAATCGACCTTTTTTCGGCTTGCATTCCTTAGGCTAGGTTCACAGTTTCACAGTGCTATTCTATAAAAAACGCATGACAGCGAGCCATTTCAGAGATGTAACTTTAATATGTGCCACTGCAAACAGACAACGTTTAGGTTCTTGCGATTTGCTTAGAACACTATTTGCTTAATCTTAACAATAAAAGTCTTCGACCTAAGTCTTTGTAAATAGTAAATGTTTACGATAAATTGTCGAAAGTTTCGACTCTGCGTCTTCCTGGTAACGCTTCCAGAGGCTCTATCTAAGTGGCTAGCTCCTCGCGTCGTTAAAATATCGACATCTACCTATTTACTTTCTTTCTTCATTGCATTTCAACAACGCTATGCGCCATCTAGTGTGCGTACTGCGACAAGATTCCAAATTATATTTTTACAATGAACATTTAAACGAGATATTCCGCCTTTGCCGTAAAATTTTTAATTTAATATAATTTTCTCGCAACCTCTGCACTCTGATTGAAATTTAAAATGTGAATTTTTGGCAGAAAAATTTTTCTAAAAGAACTATTTATCTACAAAATATGTTGAGTGCTGAGCAAGAGAACAAAAAACTAAATCAAGCCTAAACTTCCTTATTGATTATGATGACTCCGTGGCGCAATTGCCAAGGCACTGCCTTCGGCGTCGAAGGCCGTGGATTCGATTCCCACACGAGACAACAATTTGTGAGACCCACAGATAATGTTTTCGGATCCGAGTGTGTGTTCACGTGAAATTTATGTACATAAAACATCCTTACAATACATCCTGATGTTATCCTACAGTACAGGGAAAATATTTTTTAAGGGAAGACTACAATAGATCTTGCATGTCACAGAAGGATAAGGAAGGGGTTGGGTTATCCTTTTTATTTTTTAAAGTTAAAGAGGTAGCATGTCAGTTTTAAAAGTAAAAACAAAAGAAATAAAATATGTCGAAGATCTATGAAGTCCGCCAATCCGCAGTGGGGCCGCGTGGTGGCCTATGCCCTGATACCCTCTGTACACAGGAGGCCTTTGCCCAGCAGTGGGACATGTACAGGCTGTTACTTTACTTACTACTTTACTGTAGCTCGCTACCTTTAGGGCTGATCCTTTCCAGTATGTTAACGCTGCCGGTGGGCGTGAGCAGCTGTCGCGCCCGCCTCGCCTTCCTCTCCTGGCACTCGTCCAGCGACTCCATCTTCTCGAAGCGCTTCTGGTGCAGCGCGGCGAAGTTGGGCAGCTTCGTCCTCGCCACCTTCGCCTTTGACGGGGTGCCCGCCTTTTTCAACGGCGTCGACGGCTCCGAGAGCTTGGCTGAATGGATGAAACCGTTGCGCAATCAAATAATGAATAATGACAAAAAAACGTTCACGAATTTAATTTCTATTTGTCAACATATTTTGACGAATAGAAGTGTGTTTCATCACATTGATATACACCGTGTCTTTACCATCGCGACAATAAATGAACACACATATAGAGGATAACTTTTTAAAATTGTATTAAAGATTTACATTCTTTAAACATAAATATTTACCGAGTTATCGAATTTTCCAAAACAAAGAATTTTAGAACACCCGTACGTATAAAACTTCAATGTAAAGTTCATTTGTGAAGGTCATGAATGAATTTAAAGGAGACAAAACATACTGTTAGAAGGAGAGGCTTGTAATGCGGCGCTGTGGCAACGAATGAAAAAGTCTCTGAATGTATAAATCACTCAATTGTAGTTGTATAGGTGTTACAAATTTTGTTTCTTTTTTACTTAATTAGTTTGATTGAAAAATATTTTTTTTAAATTATGGATTTTTTTTAACGTTAATATTTTTTATGATTATTGGCAAGTAGTGTTCGACGTGTGTTCATTTATTGTCGCGGTGGTAAAGACACGCTGTATAAAGTATACATACTAAGTTATGATGGTAAAATTGTGTATCTAGTAAAATTTACTATAAAGGAAATCTTGATAAGTGTTTTAAATATGAAATATATTACAAACTGGATAAAAACATTGCAATAGATTAAAAAAATTTTAAAGTTATAAACAAGTAAAAAAGATCATTCATGACCCAATGGGCTTAATGAATGGTGACCTGCCTCATGCGGAAGAGGGTGGGCTTGATCGTTTTTCCAGTGTCTCAGTGTTAAATATTTTTTTTTTATTATCAAGTAGAGCAAAGGCTTTCAAATGCTTATCATGAGAGTTAAGTGAGCCCTTTTAATCTCTGTTGAACTGAGGTGTGATATTTTTATTTTATTTTATTGAGCAACAAAATCCACAGCCTTTAGTTGTTTACATGTGTATCACATATGCTTAACTTACAGCCAAGAAAGAATTTTATAGTTAGAATATATAAAATAAAAATTGAGCAGTTTATGAGTAAACAAAGTAATAGTAGTATAAGTAAATAGTAATAATAATAATAATTTTTTATTTTCTCACCACAGTATGTATCATAATAGCATTTCAAAAGGTGGATGTACAAATGAATTTTCATATTGTGGGAGACTGATGCACCAAAACTAAGCTCAAGGCTTGTATTATTGGGTCATCAGGTCCCCTCTCCTTATAAATTTGACAGTGTGTTTGCAATTTAAAAACGTATCTTTCAAAGACATTTACAATTTCCATTTTAAAATGAGAGTTAATGAGAACATAAAGATTACTGTTAATAAGTGAACATACATATAAATTAAAATTAAATCTAACACTTAAACCACTATCATATGTGCTGTGTGTGTGTGTGTGTGTGTGTGTGTGTGTGTGTGTGTGTGTGTTCATGTATATATGTACGTGTCTTATTTACCTGTTGCTTTATTTGCCTAGAAGGAAAAATATTATATTAGAAACGATAAGAGTTTTTCTGTGTCATTGTAATTTAGAACCTGTAACCATTCAGTCACTTTCTTTTTACATACATATTTTGTTTTTGTATATATGGAAACATTTTTGTTGACTTTGTCATATAAATAACTACCAAGAAAACAGAAGAAGCGACAGGAAAATTTTTTAGTTATTTTATTTGTGTATCTGTCAGCAGGGACATGACGCCTGCTCTCTTTGAGGTTTTTGGGACAGATTTTGAGTTGTCCATGTTGTTTGAGGATTGTGTGTAATAAAAATAGTTGGCGAACCGTGAGTACTTTTGCTATTTGGTATAACTCCGTGGTCGAAAAGCTAAATGGTAAAAAATGTGATACTTTGAGAATTGCACGCTGGGTTCTTTCAAGTTCAAGAATTATGGTCTTGGGCGCACCACCCCAAGATGTGATACAGTAAGTTAACTAGTATAAGTAATTTGTTTATGTTCGATAGATATAGGAGAGCTTACCTGCTGCACTGACTGTTCTGGGCCGAGACAACCTGTCCACTGACTGCTGCATCTCCTCTCCAATCTTGGAGCGCTTAGTTCGTGAATCCTCAGCATCACTTTGAGTATATGACCGCTTGCGAGTTGTTGGCCGCCTTGTATCAGACACTAGAAAAATTATAATGTAAACGACAAAGACTTAATACTGTACACATTCAGAGAATATACAAAAAAATAATTAAAAATGAAACAGAAACAATAGAAACACATTAAAAGTTAGTGTACTAACTTATATATATAGTCTACTACACTAGTCATTCAAGTGATAATAAAAAAATTAAATCTTTTCTTAAGTTGCAATTTATTGCAATAATAGAAGGATCTAGCCGAAAGAAAAAAGTCTAGTTTTGTCCCAAAAAGGAAATTATGTTGAAAAGTAAATACTTACAGCTCTCATCAAATACAAAACTCTTATTAGAACCTTTCAAGTTAGACTTTATCACCTTCCTCTTTATCTGTGAAGCTATGGCAGTATTGTTTACAGGACTGCAAAACATAACTTTGGTCGTCCTAGGAATAGGGTCAGCAAGGGATGCCCGTGGCAGTGACTTTTCAATGGAGTGAGTTAAGTTTAGTACAGTCTGGCTTTTCTCTGAACTTTTCGAACCTGGAAATGGAGTGTGACCTGGTGATGGTAGAGATTTACGTCTGTTTGGAGTTTTATCTATTGACAGTCTGGCCTCTTTGAGTTTCGGTGTGTTAGGTTCTTGAGTTTTTAGTGCTTCAACTGTTGGACTCTCTTTAGTGTATGTGCCTTCCCGTTTAAGAGGTGTAATGGGTACATCTTTTATGTTTTCCATGCTTGCTCGAGGTTGCTGACATATTGGGGAATTTTGAATATTAGACACTTCCATACTGCTTTCAACTAGTTGTGGGGTTGTGTTGATAATGTTTTCTGTTCTTGAGTCATCACTGTTAATACTAATGTGGGAATCATTAGTGGATTTATCAAAAGTGAGATTCACAGAATCAGGTTTATCATTTGAATTGTTCTGTACAATGTCAAATGTTGAGTTTGATCCGCCACTGCTCTCTCTATCAAATGTTGTGTCAAGTGATTTTGTTTTGTTCGGTTTAGGCTTATCAGACCTTTTCTCAAATGTGCTGTTGAGGCTTCGTTTAGAGTAAGACATATCATGTTTTAGTGCATTAAGAGATTTTCTTTCACTGCTACTTATTGGCACAGACATCTCCGCAATTGTGTTGATGTATGTCCTATCAGATTTATAATCATCACTTGGCTTTTCAAAAGTTCTATTTAAATTTTGATTTGACTTTTCAAATGTGCAATTCATTTCGGTATTTGATTTGTCAAATGTACTATCAGTTCTAACATTAGAGTCCCCTGTAGCACTGTCCGGTTGATAGCTTGGCTCCTCAATTGTGGTATTTTGAAAAATGCTACAAAGCCGCTTGTTTGTCTTCTCAGAGGTGCAATTTGTATTGAGATCTGAGATAACAAATGTGTTCACAGAGTTCTTAGAGCAAGAGTTAGCATTATTGTCAATATAGCTCGGCTTTATTACTTCAATGGTTTGATCTATGGACTTTCTATTCCTACTTGACTTTCGTTTTGTTATAGTTGCTTTGTCAATGTATTCGACTTCACAGTCATCCAAATCTTTGGTGGTAATTGAGATTTTCCTTTTGTGGACTTTAGGTGTTAATGATTTTTTACCAGATCTGTGTAAAGTATCGGCGTTTTTTGCAGATACTGCATCTTCAACAACTTTAACTGTAATGCCATTAGGCTTAAGAGACTCAGGGCTGCTAGCAGCACTATGAAATGAGTCAACAGACATATTGCTTTTGTTTAGTGTACTATTTTTTAAATTATCTTCAATGACATCCTCCTCCTTACACAAACCTGGTTGCTTTAAGTTTCTCCTTCTCTTGGATTTCTTCTTTGTCTTTGGCACATTCTCTTTAACAGCTTCTTCATAATTTTCTATTGGCTCAACAATAATACTTTGCTTTTTCTTTTTAATCTTTTTCACTTTTTGCTTAGGAAATTCAGTCCCGTTTACAACCAGCAAATTACTTTCAGCAGTGTCGTCCACACTTTCTTTAATAAATTTCTTATTTCTTCGTGTATGTTTAGGTTTTTCTACATCAACATTATCGTCATCATTTCCTGTATTTGTTGCTAAAACATTATGTTCCTTAAGCGTATGTCGGCGCAATTTTCGAGTGGATTTAATTACATTTGTGTCATAGGTCGTTGCTTCATCTCCTGGATAACGGACGTAATGCGCGGTTGCATTTAACATAGCATTTGACTCGTCACAATTATCTTTTCGCCGTTTGATTCTGGTTTTCCTTTCACTTTTTATGGCAATTTGTTCTATGTCAGGTTCGTCGTTATTTCCAAATGATGAATGTATACCTAAAATTTACAAACTGTAAATAAATATTACACACACAAAAAAAAATATTTATGATTCGACACTAACGTCTCCCAGATCTGGTAGCCATTCTTACGTATTTAGTCCTAACTATTAACACAGATTTTTCAACTCATGCCATGAGAATTTAAATAAACAGGTAATAACTTTCGTTTAGATTCTTGTCAAACTTTGTCCGTTTTAAATTTAACGTTAGTTTTTAAATAACTGACTAACTGTCAATGGAGCAAACAGAAACAGATACATAACGACTAAAGGTCGGACACGTTCGTACTTCGTAAACGTTAAGGCATTACAGATTATGGGAAAAAAAATAAAGGAAGGATATTGATGATTATCATTCTGCTCTTCACCTTAATTTCCTTTTACTGAAATAATATATTTCAAAAGGAAGAAACAAGGGTTTTAAAAGATTATCAATAAATTGTTCCAAGCAGTATTAAACTAAAAATTTCAAACTCACGACTCACAATGTTTACTTGCAGTTGAGATTACAGTTTTTTCTAAAGTAAATAATCCCTTTTCAAAAATAACATAAACAACTTATTTTTTCAATTACTATCAAACCGACGTCTTACTAAAAATAAATTATATAGTCACACATTCGCCTTCTGTTTTGTATTTATTTTTCTGGTAAATCTGCAATCTACATGAAATGTCAAAATATCAACGTTCTCAACCACGGTTCCGCATTATGTATTTTTATTGATTTTGTGTGATTAATGTACATGTGTCCGGCGAAACCAATAATTGGTTAGAGAATGGTGTAAGATAATTTTAATACTGTTTATTTTTGGAGAAGTTTTATGTAAATGAAATATATTCTACGTAAAGGGCGTTATAACGTCAAATCTGACTGTATGACTCAATGAAGAGGATAAACAATGGGAAATTTTTGGCCGAAAACTATTGTGATATTACTTTATTGTTTTTACTGTGTTAAAACTGAACGTGGTGATTACATAGGGTGTTACAGATTCATTGGTACTGATGCCCTGAACACTCACAGTGGTAATTCTGTCGAAGAATGTCTGACAGTTTGCGAGGAGATCTACTACAAATATGCACTCTTAGGAAATGACTCTACATGTTTTTGTGGTAACGCACCAGGGCATTTTAAGTTACCCTTAGATTCATGCAGTATTCCGTGCCCCAAAAATGAAACGCAAATGTGTGGTGGCAATGACGCGGCCAGTGTTTACGATACAGAGGTTACCGCTCCCGGGCCACCGTCGTCTTTCGACATGTTAAATGTGACTGAGACGACGGTTCGAGTCCGATGGACCTCACCAGATGCTTACTCAAAGATAACTGGGTATATTCTCCGTGCTGAAATCATAGAAACATATGCAGATTTTAATCTGATTCCACTTGAGTGGAGAGTTTCAAATACCACTTTCAACTCGGAACTACTAAATCTACAACCAGGTTCTATATATAATGTTAGTATAGCTGCTGTGAACTATGAGGATGAAGGGCCTGTTGTAACAATAAGAGTAGAAACTATCATTGGGACACCAAACCCAAGTCCACCAGATATAATTATAAAAGGGAGACATGGTGATAGAATGGTTGTACAAATACCTGAAGCTAGAAACATAAATGGGCCAGTTTCTATGTATAGAATAGTAGTATCAATTGAATTGTATCAACAAGGATTCATAGTTGAAAATCTTGGTAATTACTCCTTTGCAGAAGAACAAGAATATCCATATTATATAACGGCAGAGCTAGATACGGATGATATAAAAAATGATTTTATTATTGGTGACCGTAGCACTTATAATGGCTATTACAACGCACCATTGCCTTTAACAAATGACATTGATGTGTCCCTGGGTGTGGTTAGTGAAAAGAATCATGTACGTAAAGTGAGATATGCAGAGTCAACAAAAAAGATTATTTTGAACATAAATGAGCCCGAAGAAGTATCACCTCTGGTAGTGGCACTGGGAGCAGCAATTGCCATAGGAGTTGTTCTTATATTAATTGGCATTGGACTGCTTATTATTCTTCGCAAGAAGATTCAGATAGCACGAATGCAAAGGGGTTCTCAATCAATGCCCCTAAGTCTCAGTGAACCTTGTATAGAAATTGAAAACTCTGGTTTTCTCCAAGATGAAGATGAGAGAGTAGACTATTATGGCAATTTAAAACGTAAACTGTGGAATATTCCCAGAAATCGTATTGATATTAACATTTCATGTGTAGTGGGAATTGGCAGCTATGGGAAATTTACAAAAGGGAGTGTCCTGCAACATGAAGCACATACTCCTAGCCTGGTTCAAATAATATCTGATAGAGAATTTGAGAAATCAGATGTGAAATTGATGTTGCAAGAATTAGATCTATTGATTAAGTCTGCTGAGCATCAAAACGTTATTTCTCTTGTTGGAATTTGTGAGACTAACACTACACTTTTTGTGGTCCTACAAGATTACAAGCAGACATTTAAAGAAATGCTTATACAATGCCGTCAAAGGGATCTTTCAAACAACAAGTTTTGTCTCATAACAGAGGATAAAGTTATACAGATGTGTGTTGACATAGCATCTGGCATGGAGTACCTGCATGGCAAGAAAATTTTCCACAAACGGTTGTGTTGTCGAAATATAGTCATAAGCAATGGTGGTGTAGCAAAAGTGAGTGGCTTTGGCCTATCTCATATACGACCACTGCATGAAACACCTGATTACATGAGGTGGATGTCACATGAAATGCTTAAGCAGACAAGATTTAATCCAAAGGCAGATGTTTGGTCTTTTGGTTGTTTAATGTGGGAAGCACTAACTATAGGTGCAACACCTTATGGTAACACTGCCAATAAAGATGTTGCAGCTAGGGTGTTAAGAGGAATGCGACCACCACAGCCTTCATATGTAAGTGATGAACTCTTTCAGCTTTGCTTGCAATGCTGGCAAGTTGATCCCGACGAAAGGCCCGCCTTTACCTCTCTGCTCAATGAACTTAGTCCCTTCACTGATGTACCAGGCACTCGAAGTCTGAGTTTCACCCATTATAATGGTTTTAACTATGAACCGTATATACCACAATTTGAAATTGTTTCATAAGAGTTAAATTTTCCAGCAGTGAACAGCTTGAGCAAATTAAAATGATGTAATTGTACATAGTTTGTATTAAAATTATTATTACTATCAAGTAATAATTAAATTAGGCCTAATTTATAGTTTAGATATTTAGTAGGATTTTTACTCTTATGTTTAATGTAGTTTTACATGAGTAAATTAATTGCTTTTTTTATTACTTTTCATGTTTGTACTCTTTTTTTTACAAAAGTAAATGTAAATTTTATATTTTTAAACTTTTTTTATATATAATGAATTCTGAAGATATGTGTATCATGGAGAATTTATGACTTAATCTGTTAATATAGTAATAATTATTAATTATGAATACATAAAACTAACACCCAAAGAAATCACTTCCAAATGTTACTGCCAGAAAATGCCATTTTTTGATGCATTTGAAGATTCACTGCTAACTTATGAGCAATGGCTTAAATTAAAGGCAGCTGTAGTAAATTAAGACTCATGATTTTGCTATATTATATTGACATTACCAATAAAGTATCATCAATAATTTGGCTTAGTTAGGGCTTCATTTGGTCAATATGCATTTCAATTGTTCTATTTAATGTACACTTATGTACTAATTAGTAAACATGTATATTTCGTATTTATTGAGTTGGATAATTATTAATCTCATCAGATAATCATAAATATGTGTAAAAAATTTCGCAAACCTATTGTGTACATTGTGAAATTACAACTTTTTCCAACACATTATGTACTCATGTTGAGCCTTCATAATTCAGGCGTATTTTATTAAAAATAACAAGTTATTATATTAAATCACATAAGTTGACTTATATATAACTAAATTTTTTGAATATATTTTAGATTAGGTTGCATGACAGTATTGTAAACAATGAATTTATATGTGTTTAGGTAAACTAAAATACACATTTCTGTAAAATTTCCCAGTTTATACAATATTTAGTAGTCAGTCATGTTTTATTGTGTTCATATTATACATAACTCAATTCTGATAAGTTTATTGTTTGTGTTATTGTATCAAATAAAAAATTTATTAACATTAAATTTCAAAGTTCAATCCTAGTGAGCTGAATTTTCTTGAAATCATATCTTCATACACTTGACAAAATGAAGTGATGGAGTAAAGTCAAATGGTAGATAATTTTCGTTCTTGGGAAATTTAATGTCACTATTGTTGTGTCCAATGAAAATTACTTTAAAAAATTTAAATTGGAGAAGTTACTAGAAAAATTACCACCTACTCAGTTCTATGATAAATCTAAAACTTGCAGACTTAGGGATCTTTGTACTTTAATAAAAAAATATTACCCGGTAACTAAAAATTTAAATCAGCAAGATAGGCACACAATTTATCGTATTGTTTTTTTTGTCAATATATAGCCAAAACCACTTACATCATGTTGTAACGTACCCAGGTGGAATAGGCGCAGGAGGATGATGATAACATATAGCAATATATTAGTAGTGGTCAACGTAGAAGTTTTATTTGATTGTAAGTCGTAACGGATCGCATTATTTAAGGCCAAAAATAATGGCAGATGCATATAAGTGCTTACCTATTAAATATGTGTTTTAGTTAATAGTAAGTAGAGATATATAATTAACAGCCGGTTTCAATATTCTATCTAAAGATAGATTTTGTTGCTAGCGATAGGTATTTGACATAAGCTCCATAATACTTAAGTCAAAATTGTCTCCAGCAAACAAATCTATCTGTAGATCGAATATTGAAACCGGCCTTAAGTATAGCTGACCATTATAATCTCAGTTCACGACGATCATTCCGAATGTTTTAATTTTAAGTGTTTTGTGTTTTATACATATTTACTCGTTCTGTTACTCTGAATGTTTGCATTCCGTCCAATGCGATTTATTTTTGTACGAATCTCGATGACTACTCATCAGTATTTACGTCACTTGTGTTGTTCAATAAATATTTAAACAAACAGTTCGTTTCCCTCTAACCGTTCAATATATTAGCTAATAGCCAATAATGATATTTAAAACAATTATATTGCAGATAATAAGTTGCGTATTTGAGTCCCAGTTGCGTACACCAAGGATTTTACGATGGTTTTTTTTCAATTTGAAAAGTTAGCATTCCACACTACTAAGAGGATTTTCGATCCTTCAAGCAAGATTTTCAGAGCTTATCATATGTTTAATAATTATATAGATACGCCGCATAATTATGTGGCAACTTTCAAGAAATCACCACATTTTATTATTACTAGGTAGATAATAAAAAGGACAAATAACATTTTCTTTCTTTGTGGTTCGCCCTAAATTTGTTCAAAGTAAAAATGTTGAAAAAGCTATGATTAGATACGAGAAAAAAAAGTTTAAAGGTTGGAAATGAAACAACACACATGTTTTGCATTTTATTTATTGTTAATATAATTATAGACAATGTTCAAGGTACCTTTTAATTGGTTTTCGAGCTTTAATCACTAAGACATTGTAACCTTTCATTTTACCTCTTATCATTTACAACATTGCAAAACAAAATCGGAAAAATTCATTGACAATTAACACTAAACAATTAACGTTGGCTAAAATATATCGAATTTTAAATTCAAATAAAATAAAAACATTGCAATTATAAACTAATATATTTATCCTCGTACGTAACATCAGCAGACCCGTTATAAACAAAGTTAACAAAAAAAAATATACCGATAATAAAATATGAATAAAATCCATCGATGAAATCGCGTAGCAACAAAACTTTTTATCAACGCATAACGTACGGAGCCGGCGCGGGGCGCCGCCTGTCTATACACACTTATATTACGCAACAAGTTACAATTCAATAGAATTAGTATAACATATCAATCTCAACATGTGTAAAGGTTGATGAGACAACGACTGAACGGCGCTCGCGACGCCGCGCTGCGGTGCCGGTCCACGCGGCGGCAAGAACGGGTGCGGCCAAGGGTCGATTCACAGCGGGCGGGACGCGAATCAGACCGACCGCGTATACCAAACGGGCGGCGCTGTCTATCGCATTACTGGCGCGTTGAGTTAAAGTAATTCCCGCCGTGTGCACGGTCAGTCCCCCCAAACGCGCCCGGTTCTCTGTGAATCGCACCCTGAGGCCAAAGAGCAACGCAACGGCCGACTCGGCAGCGCAACGGCGTCCCTACACTACACACTCGCAACACCTCAGCGCTCCGGCATCAGGGATGCCGCACACCGCGCCCCCGCGCCCCCCACAGAGCGCGAGCCGCTCGGCGGGAATCGCACACGCCCACGCCCTAGCGGACAACTTCCACATTGGACCGAGCGGGGACCGTGATTTCTTTTTCATCTCTCGTTAATTTAATGAACCATAGACGATTAATTTTATATTACATATACACCCCCAAACGCTTGGGTGCGCGTACGTGACGATGTCATTATGCGCGAGTTGATTCCTCAGTCTTTAATAAATTGATGACAATGAGCGGGAAGGTTTTTTATAACGTAAATGAAACAATGCTATGCAATTATATACAGTTGGCGAGGCGAGGCGGTCGCCGTGTGCGATTCGCGCCCGTCCGTACCAAGCGGTGCGGTGATTGTCCTAATGTTGAGTTAGACTTGAACGCACAGCCATTTCCCAATACACAGTATCGGACCTTACCCTAATCCTAGCGCCCGAGGGCTGCAACCATCACTTGTATACCCACTAAGACTACCTATAGTAATTACAATAAACCACTCTATCAACAAATTCAACAACATTTAGCTATTAAAATTAGAAAAGAAAAGAAGAGGGGGGATGAGACGCGCGATGGGAGACCCGAGTCGCCGCCCGTCCCGGCTCGACGTACCGACTTCCGACCGAAGGCGTTACGTTGTATTATGAAGAATAATAACTAGCTACCTTAGCCTACAACATCGAAATTCCTTAATCGATAACAGCGGTAAATTAATCCGTGAATACGCGGGACTGACGTGCCGTGAGGTACCGGTGGACCTGCGCACTGGCACGACGCGACCCTTCCCAATAATGCCCATCGCTGGCACACACAAAGTCCGCTACCGCCGACGCGACCGCTAGTGTCGGCCGGCGATCCGTTCCACACAAACGATCCGGCTAAAAGGACCAACTCATACGCGAGGTCATACATCAATCCTGTACATTGCTCACCATCCCGCCCGAAATGCCCCAACAGTAAGACTTATTGGGCTTTAGAGAGCTATGTTAGCCCCCGAATACGTGATCCGACTAGGCCAATTAGCCATTCGGCGTTAGTAATTTTTCTTTGCGTTGCTTTCGCTAGGTCTAGCCGAAGATCTGACTGATCATAGCTGGCCAGCTCCTTGTACAGTGTTGATATATGAGGGGAGGGCCGCGTGGCCGCACCGGCATAGGCCGAGCCGAGGTGCAAGAGTCAGTATCACAGTAACAGCATGTCGACCAATCTGTCGCTCCGCATTCGCTAACACGAAACGCCCGGGACGAAGAACCACCCTATTTATTATCATTCCACACGTTAAAACCATTATTATTACTTCTTTTTTTTAATTCTCTGATAATGTTATCCCACTAAGTAATTCATTAATCTGTATCGACGAATAATTAATATACTCTCAAATAGTGTAACAACTTCGGTATAACAACTTTTTAACATTTTCACCAGTTCAATTTGTCTATACAATTGATAATTGTATCGTTTTCGATTTAACATTATTAATAACTAGCTAGAATTTCATTGAATAACTATTTTTTTAATAACTTCTGAAATGTTCTTTACAGTGTTTCCTCTAAACAACGAACGCTAGCGGATGCTAGAAAGTTAAAAACGGTGATGGCAACACTGATTAATAAACTATTGACGAATAACGACTAGTTTTAAAAATACTCCCCAGACAGAAGCCTATGGCTATTCGATTATCCCTATTGAGGATGAGCGTGAGCGGAAAGAGTGTATTGCTCATGAGTCGACACCTAGCTGGAATGTCTCAGAGTGGACAGTAACATTGTAAAGAACAGATCAAACGACGAGGAGCGAGAGAGAGGGATTGAATGGAAATGTGCACGATCAAAAGTTACATCTACCCGCAGCGGTCTTCCGAACGCTCGGTTGAAAAACGCTAAGAGAACGCTTCCTACTACATAGTGGTAACATCATCAATGGTAATAAAACAACACGTACTCGCTAATGTAAAGACTCATCAGAGTAAAAGGACGTAGAAGAGATTTATAGGGGAGAACAACAGTAGAGTGGAGGCGCCGATGATTGTACGACACGTTTTTTTGTACTTTGAAATAGACTCCATGGAGTTCCGCAAGAACATGGATAAAGAAGGGGCATTTGTAGGCGGCGGGGGTGGCTTTAGCGGGCAGCGGGAGGACAGCTAGACGCGAGTACAACAACGGTTTCCCGATAATTGACGTGATCACTTACAAGTAACGATTACTAATCGAGAGTTAATTTTTTTTTCTTCATTTCTCCGATCAAAATTGAGCTTTTTAAATCGACATGCACAGACGGACGCGTCGCGTACACCGCGTGCCAACGTCCCGAACACACGCCAGGGCCGTCGACTGAGCGCGAACGAAAGCGTTCGAATCCCGCATTTTTTTCTCCATTTTTCCGGAATTAGTAAAATAGATTTTTTTCTAGATTTCTCTAACCCCGGAAAAATTGAAAAAAAAAAATCGGGCCAAAAAGGCAGCGACCCGATGATAATTGATCACAACTAGAAACGGACATTCGCAACACCAAAGGCGTGTCGCGCGCTCGCCCGCCGGTGGCAGCCCTGGCGGCGGGACGCCGGCACGCTCGCCCTAACCCCCATTCCTAATTGACACGATACGATATCCGTAAACCACACCCGAAGGGGACGACACACAAACACACAGACACAAGATAGACCGAAGAAAACACCGGAGCGGTGGAATAGCATTTAACCTTACTACGTGGTAACGCGTTTATTTCATTAATATATATATATTTAATTTTTAGTTTCATCAAAGATTTTTAATACACTACAACTAGCTACGTCAATGCAAGTCTACGCTGCGTGATCTCTTAGTCGCTACGTCACAAAGGACGCGACAACAAAGCCGGGAGCTCGCTCAATTCCTCTCACCTTAAACACTAGACTACCGTTCGAGCCGGCATCGAATATATCTCTTTTTTTTCTAAATTATTTTAATTCAAACCGCCTGCTTATTATCTGTTTCAATTTGTACTTCATTCCCGTTTCTCGATAAAGCGTAAGCCCTCAATGGGGACACCACACTGTGCACTGTACTTCTAATTGGGAGGGAATTCTCCACAGGACCGAAGGGGTGGGGATGAGAGAGTGAGAAGGAGTGAGTGAGGGGGGAGGGGAGGGGGGGGGGGGGTGTTAGCCGAAGGTCGCGGGGACTTTTAGTGCGATACGATGGCACTTCTGAGGTAAACTAACGCAACTTATTCTATCATCGCCGACCTGGACGATGTCGGAAAAACAATCACAGCTCACGTGCCGCGCGATATGTCCGACGCGCGGACAGCTACGGCGACGGAAAAGCAAACGTCACGCAAACGCGGCGGCCGTGTTATTAAAATAAATTATCGTTCAATTCAATTAGTACGCAACTGTAAATAAGAATATTTCATCGTATTGTCATCTTGAATAATATATAGAAATCTGCATTTAAAACGTTTAAAATATATAAATCTCTACTATATGGACACGCATATGTTTTAACATTAAAATTGTACTTATAGTTTAAAGACGAAATTTAGACCGACAACAAATGAACATATCTATTAAAAACACCATCCCTAGCGGAATCAAGACACAAATAAATGTATAAAAAAATAAAGATCTATTACCGAGAGAAATTAGGAATGAAATAAAAAATTCTGCTAATAGATTCAAAACTTAATGTCACAGCGTAAAAATTAAAATAAAAATTAAAAGAAAATTATGCCAACCATAGATTAATTAATAATGTCGCATTGTACTTTTGTCTGTAAAATATTATATTTTTTTCTCATATCAGACGTCAAGAAATTAATATTACCAGCTTTGGTAAGGATATCATTTGGCTCCTATATATTCCCTCGCACTTATTGCATTTCCACATTTCCGTCAAATTGGGGCGTAAGATTAACAATTTTTCACATTTAGAATAACAAACACTTTACAATAAATTCAATTTTACCACATAACTTGTAAGAAAAAAAAAAACAATAACTTATCAATGGTAACATATACAATGAAATCATAATATAGCATAGACACATAATCGATAATGGTGAACAATGTACAAAAATAAGATTTGAAAAAAAAAAAAAAAAACTTTATGGAATAGGAATTTTCCGTGATAGGACGTATCACAATAGTACATTTTCCATAGTTTAAATTTATCATAACAGCTTAACAACAACGCGCCGCTAGGCGGCCACGGAACGATCAAATGTTGCATCAACTTCGAAAACACAGACAGAATACAATAATGTAAAATGTAATGAAACCGTCAAACACGAACAACGTTATTGCGCTTAAAGTGAATTACATATTATATTATATAGATAAATCTATATTGTATATTGTAAATATGACTATTTGGCGACGCGGCGGGCGCGGGCGCTCGGTACAATTGCACGGCCCCGGCCACGCCATAGTGAGCTTTAACACGAACGCGATAGAGTCTAGAGTCGGGCGCCGCGCGCGCCGCGTCGCGTGCTGCGCTTGACCGCGGGGGGTCAACGCCCAGAGGGGAGAGAGAGAGAAGACGAGAGAAACACAAGACGGGGGGACGAGAAGAGAGATGAAGACGAGGCATAAAAACTACAACTACGCTCAGGTAACTCGCGCCACTCCTCTATGTATGCTCAATATCGCGACGGCGTAAACGTAACTACCGACCGGCGTATGACTAGAGACAACTAGAATCTACGATACAACAACGAACTCGCTTTGGAGGCGGTGCCGGGGAGGGGCCCGCCGATGGCCCGCCTCGGCGCGGATCGGGCGGAGGGCTGCTGCGACGATTGAAACATCGTCCTTATCGCATTCCAATAAAGTCGAAAGTGGCATAGGCCGGGTGTCGACTAAATTGTAGAGCAAATATCGGTTTGTGGAGGCTTTAACCGAACAGCCATAAATGTGCTCCGCTTTCGAGAACGATCTAGAGCGATTCGAGCCCGCGGCCAGCTCTCCACCTGATCCGCACCGACGCGTGCGTGCGCGCTCACGCTTGACTCCTCATTTGGAGGGGAGAGCGTGCGTGAGGCAGACGAGGTTCGGGCGGCCCTGTTCGCTTACTACGGCCGGCCTACTGCATGAGGCCCGAGATTGCGTTGTGGCGGGTCCGTTTCAGCTCCTCCTCCTGGATCTTCTGCTCGATGAGGTACTGCGCGTTGCTGATCGCGGTCTGGGTGCCGGTGATGGTGACGATGCGGTTGCGGGTGCCGGGCGCGAAGGTGCCCTTCTTGGAGATCTGGATGTTGGCGCCGGACATCTGCTGGATCTCGACGAGACTCCGGCCGCCGGGCCCTGCAAGGTGCACGCGCAACGTGAACTCTCGTCGCCCATTCGGCCCGAGCGACTCTCCTCGTCGCTGGGATTCGGAAAGTTGACAATCAGCGCGTTTAAGGACATCTAATCATTTCTCCAATTCAATATTTAACATCATCATAAACGATGTCGGTAGGTAAAGAATTACAGCGGCGATACGCACCCAGTATGGCGCCGACGATGACCTCGGCGATCTCCACGTTCTTCGAGTCCTTGGCGCCCGCGTCGGCCGGCGTGGGGCTCTTGGAGAGCGGCAGCAGCGAGGCGGACGGGAAGCCGGCCACGCCCCCCACGCCGCCGACGCCCCCCACGCCACCGACGCCGGCCGACAGCGAGATAGGCGCCACGGCTGGGGGGCGAAGCGCCTCGAATGCAACCTCCGCGAAACGCTCTAGCGAGCCGCCGCGCGCGCCGCCTGCGGACGTCACGCTAGTCACGCCCATCGCGCCGCGTCCGCCGCGCGCCGGTAGCGCGTGGCACGCGTAGCGTCACGTCGCGTCACGCGCGCCGCGCCGCGTGTGCCGTGCGGCCGGGCGGTATAGGGGTGCGGCGCGAGGTGCCGTCACTTACATTAGAACGTTTCGCGCTGTTGCGGACAGAGTGACGTGTTAGCGTGCTGCACGCAACCGCCCCCGCACAGCGCGCCGGTCGCGCGAACACGCGGTCACGTCGCGCGTGTTCGCGGCGTCGTCGTTACCCGGTGTTGGGTGATGCTTTTGCACGCGGCCCGCAATGCCCCGCAAAGTGACGCTCGAGGCTTTTCAAGCGGTCGAGTGTACAATAATTGGATTTGTTTGCCCACAAAGCTATTCGAACTATTCGACAAATTTACATACGGGAATGGCTCTTTTCACTATCGGAATACCAACAAACTAATTAACTAAAAGTTTATTTTTTTACACTTACTCTATAATCTACTAATTTGAGCACATTCATATCGCGTAAAAGTGACATAATATCTTTCACTAGATACTATCTATCCACACCAACAGAATGTTTGCCATCTAAAAACATCTAGAATTATATAAGTGAAAGGAAAAAAAAGAAACGTACAAGAGCATTACCCAGGTGTTCATGATATTAAATGACGTTTCAGCTGGTGGTAATGAAATTTTGATTAAAATTGAGCCGAATCAATAGGTCTGCTGTCACGGCGGCGCTGTGTAGCGAGCGATCTTGCGGAGGAAAGAATCGAAAGATAGTTCGAAGGAGCAACTTGCGTGTACACAAACAGACGACATAAAATACAAAGCAATGTTGATATCATGTTTAAATTGCAAAAACAATATTTTCCTATGCAATCAGATGGTCATATGAATATCACAATATTTTTTAAGACCCATATTTTAATATTATATATATTACCATAACTCATTGCAAAGGTGGGTACAATTCTTTGATGAAGTATTATTCACTACTGTTAAAATATGCAAACAAAATCTGACCTTAACACTACAGTATTTAATAAAAAATACATTAATGATTTTTAAAATGCCAGGGTCAAAGTACTAGCAACAAACAACATCGAAGTAGGTAAGTACTTACATAATATTTATGAATAGCGTAACGACTCGACTAACCATCCAAAATCGAAATTAAAATATTGTGGTATTAGCTAAAAACTAACAAACAACACGATTAAGGCATATCAACATCACTTTTCAACAATTCGACTTGCAAATTGCTCCTTTAATTAGCTTGCGTCGATCTCAATGCTACCGTGGGTACTCGGTCAAACTAAAAATACACAGAAGTAATGTAATTTCCCTTATATTGTGAATGAAATATAATTAATGCTTTAACAAGCAAAAAATGGCTGTTGACATTTGACCCGAACACGTGGTAACATTCGACCTTGACGCGTGTCGTTAAAGATGTATTGCCGACAGGATGATATGGTGAGAGACATGTTTTGGAAATTTAGATACACCACTAAGCGCAGTGAAAAAAAATCAAAATAAACCAATACTCATAAGCCAATTGTGTTAAAAGAAAATCAGCAATACAATACACATTGTAACATTGCATGCGATCATAGACTATAGACGAATAACAATTCATAGTGTTGTTTTTTTTTTTACAGACATTTAGTGATTACTATATCTAGGTTACAATATTTTCTTATAAAATAAAAACAAAATTGCGCACAGACATTGTACAATTAGTAATTTTTATAATTGCGTGCAGGATGAACGTTACAAAACTATATAATATATGCATCATAAGTTTGACAGATGCGTGAAAATTGGCGGGAAGTCACAATTTACATTTTTGTCTTTAATGTAATGATGATGACCTTAAAATTTTATTTTGATCGCGTTGTTGCCTTATAAATACAATTATAATTATTTACAATTATTTCCTAAGCTTTGCGACTACACTAACGCATATAATGTGTATTTAAAAAATCTACAGTTGGTTCAAATTTCAAATCTTGGTTTTTAACAATAATTGTTGTTCGTCTAAAAGTATTTTTAATGAATGTCAAAGTAGCAGAATTTTTTATAAATCACACATTCTAAAAGCGTTTCATTTTAATTGTTTCATATATTACGTGTGTTATTGAGAGAAAAAATAAATATAATTAAAAATAGAACGAAATATTTAATATGCATTTTAAAAACATATTGCTTAATTTACATCGTTTATATGTGATATAAAATGAAACACATTTAGGTTTGTAACTAATTAAAGTTAAAAAATAAGTAAAGCAATAAAACTCTCAAGATAGATTTCCAGTTATTAACAATAGCCAATGTTCCAAAAGAAGAATGTAAAGCGATATTAGGAAATTTAGAATTTTGTGTACTTAAATCGACGGTATGTAGAGGTCGTGTCCGTCATCGATTCCAATGTTATGGTAAACTGATTTTAAAGAAGCGCTTAAATTTCATTTTTAATCGAATAATTACCCGCGTAAAATACACCAAAGTTAAAAAAAATATCATACACTGGATTTATTAAATCTCAATCGTGTTAACAGAGTCGTGTTTATTAGATAAATAATGAAGAGATTTTCTTTTATGAAAAATATTAATTCTTATAATTATGATTTCTGCTATTTAAGGACATTGGGCACTACTTAAACCCGTGAAAGACTGTTACTGGAAAGCTATTTTAGTCATACGTAATAAAATTTCGTTTCATTTCAATGAATTTTGTGAGACTTTACGTGAATATGGTGTCCATTATAAGGTTTATGGGAACAGAGTAATAAAATACTTCATAATTAAATACTCTCAAAAAATGTTCCGTCACTTTCCATTTATGTTCATGGTCGGTTATGTATTTATCAATGTTTACATTCTCTTTGGATATTGTCAAAATATTTGCCAATGAGGAAATTAATGAACGAACTAAATTAAGAGAATGACCAGAATCTTTTCTTCCCTGTCCGTAACATATTTAAAAAAAAATTATTAAAAAAGGTCTAGTAATGGCAAGCGACTAGCAATTTGCTTACAAATAGAAGTTTTATTAGTGAAACAAAGTATATTTTTTCAACAATAAAGGCAATATCGACATTAATAACACTAAAATAGAGTTTTATTTGCTCTAACAGCGACGTTACGTGTCACCCTTCAATTAATAAGTGCAACTCGATTAGACTTCGAGCTTAGTGCATGTTACTAAACATAATATAGCGTCCAACGCGAAGTTCGATTGAACGAAAAACGGTCGTATTATAAAGTTCATAAAGTCGTAATTCCATCGCTTCAATGGCAGTCGGAAACCTTGACGCAGTGTTAGCTGAATGCAAGGTCAAGTTTGTGATGGATTTGCGTCCACCATTGTTTAACAGTTGTAGGGTGACTACGCGGCATATTTCGTCGGGATTTTGTCCAAATATTAAAATATAATAGTTTTTTATTCACAGCTTCAGGTTATTATGCCTCGAAGGTTTGAGGTAATATGTGGAAGATTATTATTACTCAAAAGACATTTATTGTTCGGATTATTGTCGTTCCCGGCTCAAATATGATTCGGATATACGTTTTACGGTTTTACCGATTTCACGAATTGCACACGTTACGAGTTTTCAAATACTAATTGTATACAATTAGTTATTTGAAAAGATATGATAAACGTGGTAATGTCCTAAGCAAAATATGGTTAGTGACAAACAAGATGCTGCCTTGACAAATTAAATCCATGAAATGTAATGTGTTTCTTTGTGAACGTAACCGTAAACGAAATGAGACGAATTTCCTATAAAAAAATCAAGTGCTTCAAAGCCGGATACGTTGATAATTCACGGAAGCGTTAAAATCATTCGGTAACGGAGACCACTTTATCACAGTTTCAGAGTCCTCGAATCCTTCTGACGTCAGTCTACAAATCTTTGGTGATAAACTCGTCAAACAACAACCTCTACCTAACGGCCGCTCGTATACTATTTGTACTTATGAACCACCTAACCGAATTTACCGGTGTTACCAAATTGAATCAACCGCGTCCGCAAGCAGTAGACTACGCTGACACTAATCAAAGAAAACCACCTAGACTTCAATACTTCAAATACCTCCCAATTCTATAGTACTTATCCCAAAACTATCTCAAATAAAAAATAAAACTCCTTCTGGCGGCAGTTTCATGTCGATTGCCCTAATATCGACAGATAGTAGACAGTTCACGGCACCTCGAAACGAGTTTACATCGAAAAAAAAAATTTACTTTTCAAAGGCGAGCCGAGTCCAGCCACGCTGGCGGTCGTCCCTCGTAACAAGGCACAAGCGTTTCGAACTTATACAAAACTGCGACTGAGACCGGAGACCGGGCGCACCGGAGACCGGCCGCACCAGAGACCGGCTGCACCGGAGACTCGACACACTACACCAGAGGCCCGTCGCGGTACGCCAGCGCCCAGGCGCCCAGCTCGCGTCTCGCGTCGACCGACGCGCCCGGATGGTAGTAGAGGCGGCACTCACCGAGGCCCACCTGGCCCAGCGGGCCGAAGACGGCGGGCGAGTCCTGCGCGGGCAGGGGGAAGTAGGCCGCCGAGAGGGGGGCGGGCGGCAGGGCGGTGGGCAGCGCGAGCCCCAGCACGCCGTGCTTCACGAGCAGGGAGAGCGCGGCGCCGATCTCCGAGATGCCCGCCTCCGAGTAGCCCGCCTGGCGGAGCGCCACCTGGCGGGGCGCGGGTTCGATCGTCACGTCATCGGTCATCGATATGACGACGCCACGATGGCGATCAAGTTGTGGCGATGTGAGAAGGTGGCTAACGAGCGGGTTCACATGTGTGTTAAGTGGTACCCGCCGCCCATGGACATTTGCAACGCCCGTAGCGTTGCAGATGCGTTGTCACCTTTTAATAAAGTGGCGATACCTCAATCACCAAACGAATCGTAGTGGTAGAACACTTCCACTTCACGCCGGTCTTCTGTGAGGTAGTAGTTCTCATCCGGACGGACCTGCCCATTCGTGCAACAGCCGAAACTGTCGCGTGGCCTTACCACAGTGGTTTCATTCGTGGATACAATTGTATTCGGACGGTATCGCCAGATTTCACCGTTGACGCTAACAAGTCTGGAGCGAAACGGTTCGACAGCGTCAGTTTTCCCGTCTCATCGCGGGATATACCCGAAAAGGTTTTACTGAGTCAGTAACGCTAATTGTCGTGTGTTTAAATATTAAATTGTCGTCATCACATCATACAATAGGGAAAGATTTGTAATTGTACTTGTAAAGAGGCCATTACCTTGATATGGTCCAGCGTGTGTTGGGTGAGGGGCGAGGGGGGAGGGGTTCCGGGTGGCGCGAGCGAAAGGGACAGCGAGAGCGCCCCCAGGCCCGCTGCGCCGTTCACCAGCACCGAGCCCACGGAGCCCACGCCGCCCACGCCAGCCACGGAGCCGCCGAGCGCGTGGCTCTACAAGATCACCAAGTGTCATTTAGAACGGCTGACGTCCCACCACTTGCGGTAACAAGCGACGCTACCACACAACATGTCAGGTCGTGGCATTAACGTATGATGTCGCTGCATGGCGCCATGTGAGAAGACACGTCACGACAAGTTAGGCGGCTGCATGTAATGGCATGGTGCGACACGTAAAGTTACGGCAATCTAGTGTGACATCGCGACAAGCTCGTCAAGTTGCATCGGTCACTTAGATGTTGTGACATGACACGACATGACACGACTTGTTGCGATGAAACGGGGAACGGTGTCTAATGGACACGTGAATGGTAAACGACCAATGACGGAATATGTAAATATTACACATTCATCTGCGATGGCGTTCTTTTCTACTCTTTGGGTGACTTCATCGGATAAATAAACATGACTCACGCGGTTTAATGTGAAGATCGAAGCATATCCGACCGATCGTACGGAATTTAATGGGCATATGACAACGCTATGGAAATTCTATGAAACACGGATATTCTAACGAAAAGGATAAAATGGTGCAAGTTAGAAAGGATGATGGTAAAGTGTTCATTGATAAATTTCGTGAAGTGCAATTTAAAACTGAAAAGCATTCGTTTTTAGTGTCTTGGGCAAAATTCCAAAACAAAAATAAAATGACACGTGAACGTTCGATGTGCATCAATGAGGATGGACTTCTCGAGCGACAGTTTCGATGGCCAGATTTCGATTCGCAAACAAGGCAAGCGGTGTACTTGAACACGCTCACATGTATCTTATAAATTATCAAAGACTCTGATGAGATCTCAGCCTAATCGAAGATACAGTAGTCGTATTATGTTTCCAGATACAACACTTGAGTCTCTCAAAATTTTGCACTGGAAAATGTCGTACTGTGAAATGTTAATTTTGAAGAAGTTCCAATTGACGACCGTGGTGACTGATATCAGAACGGCTTTAATAGATTTAATTCTATCGAAATTTTCCTGTTTCGCCGAATTAAATTTTAGCAAAACGACTACACGAGCTCATTTGATTGCGAAGACAATAAAGCAAATAATGGGCGAGTTGTTAGTCTCTCTGCGAAAATACTTTGGGCATTACCTAATATATCAAGAGCATGACATCAGTCTAGAAATCTCATCATCAAATAGACTACAATAGAATTTGAACCTTATAAACGATAACGATAGAATTTCGATTTGCAAAGTTGCGCCGCACACGTTCCGGATCCGACGGAAAGCGGACCTGGAGCGGACAAGGCAGGGTCCATTTTAGCATGAGACACCACCAGAGCCGGGCGGGGCTGTCTGTAATGAGCGTGTCCAAGCTGTCACCTCGGTCACCTCAGTGGTGGGCACTGCGTACGGCGAGCCGGTCGGGTTGTAGTTGGCCACTGGGCCGGCGACGTCCGCGTACGACACGTTGGGACAGGAGCCGGACTGAGGGTCGTCGACCACCTTCGAGAGGATCATGAGGCACGCCTTCTTGTTGTTCTCCTTCTCGCCTGGAATTGAGCATGGGCATCGTTCAAGACGTGCAAAGAAGCTTGACGAACATCTGGCATAGATATCATGGCTCCATGACGCAGTCGTCAAGGTATTGGCTTCGGCGTCGGGGGTCGTGGGTTCGATTCACACACGGGACAACTATTTGTGTAACCCACAGGTAGTTGTTTCGCATCTGGGTGTTTGTCCACGTGAAATTTATGTATGTAAAACGTCCCTGCAACACAGGATAATGTTATCCTAAAGTGAGGGCAATAAAAAAAAATCATATCCCACTGTCATGCAGTTGTTAAAAAGTAGAGAACCTCGCTAGTATGAGATTTACCCTCTCTTTCCACAGTACCTAACGCTTAATTTAGGTATTTAAATAAACGAAAAAAATTAAAATTGGGAAAGGTCTGTATTTAAAAAAGAAAATAAAAGCCAAAGGTTATACAGTTAACATTAAAAATAATTAATAATCTTTCCAAGTTTTGATCATGAACAATTACTGAGTCGCTTTTTGCGATAAAATGGAGACGATGCACTCACCCACGACAGTTATGCATCTCTCCTGAAGCGAGAGCTCCTTAGCCTTCTGCGAAATCTGGACGTAGCTGCCGCTCTGCTCTTTGATCTGCTTGATGTAGTTCCCTCCCTTGCCGATGATCATGCCAGCGGTGGAGTTGGGCACCAGGATCTTGACCTGAAGGCGGCGGCACGTTAAACAGCAACGTTTTGCAAACATAATGCTCTAAAATTACATACAAAGTGATGGAGGTAGAACTTAAAGTCACCGAACATCTTATAATTAAACGTGTTCATTAATTTATTTCTATATTTTGTTGTACTTTATTGCCACTAGTCGCAGAATACCAATAATTCTTTTTCTATCGATAGCGGCAGAATAACCTTACGTAAATGGCAGTAGGCATTAGTGGTAGAATATTGATTTTTATTAAATGGTTGACACTTCCTTTCAAACTCTCCTTCGTAAAACGTAATCGCCTCATTTGCATGGCAACAGAGCGGTCGGTTAAACTCCTTATAAACAGTGTCCAAGCATCTTTCAAGAAGTCGTTAAAGTGTACCCCAAAAGCTGCAGCAAGGTCACATGTATGGTCAAACGTAGGTCACGTTTTGAGCATACATGCGACATTGTTTAAAGTTTTACATCTGTTCCAGCTCCAAAAGCTCGAGTGGGGCCATTCAGCTGAAAGCTTTGCTTTTTGTAACACGCGCCTCGCAAACAGAGAAGTCGTTAAGGAATCCCTTTATGAGAGAAACACGCCGTCCCTTGTGGGACCGGAGGCATCACGAATAAACGTTACGCGAGAGACGAAACTTTTATCTACATTTTCTACAGATTCAACAACAAATGGCTTTTTGCTGTCCCAAAATAATTGGGCTAACGATCGTTGGCCGTGTTTGTTTTTTGTTTCACACAGTTGCACGGTGAGAGTATCGCTTTTGTACTATCAGCTTATAGTGGATACTGGATAATTGTTTTTTTCGAATATTTACCTAAAAAGTTCAGCCTCGCATCAAGAAGTTTGGAACCAAAAAGGAGAGTTGAAAAAGTATTTGTTAAATCCCGACATATTAAATACGTACTTGATAAAAAAAAAACTGTATAATATCGCAAGTCTTCGTAACGAAAAGGAGAAGGGAACGTACTATAAATCTAAACAACTGAATGTTGTCATAGTCTCTGTTCCAAGACACACGACAAAAGACCTTTAGGAAGCTTATGTTTTCGTTGTTAGAGACGAAGACAAAACAACCAAGATTTAACCAGCAGAAAGCGTAAAGGGAGATTATGTCATCGCAGCTTCGTTCGGAAGGCACGCAAGAATAATCAAATGGGCGGTATACAGCGAAGATACACACGACATGTTGGTGGGGCTAACTGGAAGTGGAATAAAGCGCAATCTGTGACGCCGGCGCGCGACCTTGGCTCACCGCTATTGCTCTACGTAACTACGCTGTGGTGTCCATGTTTCGTGTAAAACTATAATATTAAATGGAGAACGAATAGAGGAATTTGAAGATTTTTATGGACTACCGGACGAAATGTGGGTCGTAGAACTTTCGTTACAATGCTAGTAATTCAAATAAAGATTAAGCGATATTTTCATACAGAATCCAAGTAATATAGTAATCACTAACGCAGCCAAGATAACGTTAATTTACAACAAAACGATTACATGGCAACTGATGAAGATAAATGAGTAGAAAACGAGGAATGTTCTAATGAACCCGCTGCAGTATGGGCACCCTAGCTTGCACAGGCGTGCAGTAAATCACACGTGTTCGTCCGCTTTGCTCTACGCCGTTACGTAGGCCTAGCGAGGTCATCGGGATTGTGTTGTGTGAGAGCGAGATGTCCTCGCTAATTTCAAATAATCTAGTCGCCAAAATGCAGCGCCCGACTTTCCTTTGCGGCGAATAATCAGGAGATTTTTGTGAGCGTTAACATTGTTAACAGTATCAAGAAATAAAGTGGGACGTACCCGGACGGACCTGCCCATTCGTGCAACAGCGAAGACTGCGTGGCTCTACCATAGAAAGTGTGGCAGGGCCACGCAACAGTCTAACGCTGTTGCAAAGATGGGCTTGTCCGGGGAAATGCCACGAGCTCAATGGAGACCAGCGTAAATTGGAAGTGTTATAGTTTTGCTTTTCTTGTAACCAGGACCACTTTATTAATCGGCGCCAATGCATTTGCTATCACTTAAGATACAACATGTTATCACTTAATATCAGGTGTACCGTCAGCTCATTTGTCACATTCTCATTTATTAACAAAAAAACAAGTAACCGCTTCGTCAGAGGTTATCTTAGCAACTAGTTAGTAGTTATTTTACTCTAACCGAAGTAGTCTGCGAGACTCAGAGCCAGAGACACATCATATAACCGGGAGTCCATCATCGTGCAATAGATTCAAGGCAGTGGTTGGATCAAGTAACGTAAATCCAGGATACTGTTAGTTGCACTCAATTGAGATTCAAACTTGCAAGCTTTTTTTAACTCCCTAGCCTAGACACGCACGCCAGTCCATTACAATGTGAATGAACAGACTCTACCCTCCGTCGCTCGTCGTTATCATAAAACTGAATGGCCCCCTCCAGAGGATAGCGTTAAACGATGCGATACATTAATTATTTTCAAACTCTCCCTCGTAAAATGTAATCGCCTCATTTGCGTGGCAACAGAGCGGTCGGTAAAACTCTGAAGCCGCAGACAATGAGGCACGCAAGTACCGGCTGACGTATTAAAAAAACGGGCAAACATCCTGTATACGATCGTGAGGTTATTTAAAAATTATTGATTTTTATGAAATATGCAACTATTTTTCGGTATTATGTCGTATTTCTTTAGTATTTAATGAAGTTTTGGAAATATTACGAAAGTGAATTTGATGCGAATGCGTCAAAAAATTCCATGAACCAAAAAAATAACTGACTCTCATACACATATAATATGTACTTACATAACCACGCACACGCACGATTATCTGTCTATTTAGCCTATCGCATTTTCAATTTTGCTTCTATACTAGTCGGAATATCTGATCTTTGGAGGGGAAAACTCCGTAGGGCTGGTGAGACTTACTAGAGGACAATTTCAAACAGTGTTGGAGGTAATAATGTTTCATAGAACGAGCTGGTGACGATGGCGTTTCATTCATAATCGTCAGTGGCATAACAGACGAGTTAATTCCGCTCAGAATTGTTCAAAATATCCCCCATCGACTTCACCGTATTCCGGCTAAGTGGAACGAATTAAAAGCTCGCGCGCCGAGCACGCCGTTTCTAAAGTTTATTAAAATAAATTGCACTTTGATGAGGTGGTGAGGTGCTCTTACTTACTCTGCCCACTTTGCGAGTAACACGCGCGTAATGCGCCGTTACGAACATACAGCCTGCGAAAGCTATTAGTGAGTACGGCAGACTTTTTAAGCCGGTAGTGGTGCATGGCTAGTTCGTCGAAAAAAATATAGACCCGGTAATAATATATCGATATTTAATATGTCGATATTTTTGACGAATAGGCCGAAATTCGTCGAAAATATCGACTTGCCATCGGTCGTCAGTTTTAGCGGACTCGTATAGTGTATTAATTAATTTATTCGGTGGTTTTATATTAATTGGGAACAAATAAAGTAATACAATACAATGGTCAAAATTTTGTTTTTCAAATAGTCTCCCGTCACATTTAGGTATTTAGGGGACGATCTCTAACACGATGTCTAATAAGACTTACCTGAGGGCGTTGTTCAGTTGCAACGGACCGTTTAACTTTAAACTTGACTGGGTTGCCACATCGCGGAGTATCACGCCACTCCACTGCCGCAATGCAGTGTCCGTTTGGGTGGGGAGAAGAGAGGGGGGGGGGGGGAGGAGCAATGGTGATACCATATCGCGCGCGGCACGCGACTCCAGCCCTCCGATCTATCGTGTGTATTAAAAGTTTTGAATGGGTAGAGAAAAAAAATTGTGACGTTTAACGATAGATATATTTCGATTGAAAAGATGACAAAAAAGTACACCTAATGGCAGTTACGTATGGTGCACTATATTAAAAGGCGACAACTCATCTGGATACGTATGGGCGATGCAAATGTCCATGGGCGGCGGCGATAGTAACTTAACAGGTGACTCGCAAACTGGCTTACCATCTTCTAACATAAAAAAAGTTAACTTCGTCTCCTACGAGCCGTGGTATCTTAGTAAAATAAAGTAACAAACAGTAAAAGTAGCTTTCAATAAAAAGCCCTTCATGATAGCAGCAACGTGTCTTACCGCATACGTTCCTTATTACGGACATCTAGTTGAAGAGATGTTATAATAAATTGTGGCATTAGAGACATATGCATGCAAACCTTGAACAAAGTGTAGCGCAAAGAGAACTTTCTCATGAGGTAATTAGATCAAGGCTAAATGAAAAAGATAAGGGCGCACCGTAGACCACCCTCTCTAGTGCACTAGTCAATAAGTCATTAAGTAGCTCTGATTGGTGCACATACATATTCAGAATGCCTAATATCTTGAGAGGGTGGAAAATGGTATCGCTCGAACAATCTACCGCAGACGGCCTTGGTACTATCATTATCGAAAGTATCGTCTAAATGCCTATGTCTGACAGCAGTCATTAAAGTGATGGGGCCGGCGCGTAAGTGTGTCGAACAAAGGGGACGGGTCACGCCCTCTTGCAGGCAAGAGTGATGATGACTTAGAGCCACGGCTCAAGACACGAGTGAACTAAATCTGTCTATTAGGGGCGGTGATTACATATGTGCGAAACGTTTTCTTTTCGTCCCCTATATATATTAATTTGTAAAATTAAATTCAAATTTAAAACTCGGGAATTAATTGATTCATGCCCCGCGATTAGTTTTTATAGTTTTACTAGCGACCCGCCCCGGCTTCGCACGGGTGCAATGTATTATACATATAAACCTTCCTCTTGAATCAATCTATCTAGTACAAAAAACCGCATCAATATCCGTTGCGTAGTTTTAAAGATCTAAGCATACATAGGGATAGACAGACAGCGGGACGACTTTGTTTTATACTATGTAGTGATATGCGATCTATAAGTACTTATTGCAGTAATTTTTTATTCGTTGTTATGTATAGATAGATTCAGTTGCAAAAGTTACAAATCGATGGTGTACACCAAAAAGCGTACACGTGTCCAAATCTATCGCAGGTCGTTGATAAAGCAACGTGCATACGAGGACGTCATACACGACGCGACGCGCGTCAAGCGAGCATCGGTTTTTGTCCTAAACTTTTTCGAACACAATTCCACATAGCTCAGTTACTCTTCGCTTATATGTTTACGCTTTCGGCCCTGGGTACAAGGTTTTGGCTTTACGTATTAATATATAGACAACTTGGATTTATAGGTAAACTAGCGACCCGCCCCGGTTTCGCGCGGCTGCAATGCATTATACATATATTCTTCCTCTTGAATCACCCTATCTAGTAAAAAAATCATCATGTTTTAAAGATCTAAGAAAAGTTGTTTTTGGTTAGCATGGTATTTTCGTGAAGATCCGGTCGTGACGGAAAGTTCTTATTCACTTTCTATCGCCTAGCCCCCATTCGCCAAATCCGCACTGTGTGGTAAGGTACTTCGTTCCATAAAATACAATAAATGTTGAAGTTAAGAAAAATTGTAAGTTGTACTTAGTTGTACTTACAGTTTTTCTTAACCATATTTGATTAGAAAAACATTGAGTATGCCTCTTTGTATATTTACGAGAGTGCCATGTTTGTGAGAAATAACATGGCTCTTTTCCCTGAGGCAATACATGAACGAAGCCGACGTTGATATTCAAAAGCAATATAGACGAAAATAGAAACACACAGTAATTTAAGTAAGTATTTGATTAGACTACTCTATGCATAACATCCAAATTATATAAAAAAAAAATTACGAAATTCCGAATGACATGAAAAAACTAAATAGAAATTTATATTACTAGAAATCACGCGATATGTGGACACCGGAATGTTATAATAGTATTAATTAATTTTTACTAAGAAACTAATTATAGTTCATTTCTCGTTCTGTTTTAACTTATTCCACTCTGTTCAATTTGAGATTAAATTTATTATTCTCATGTTTTTATTGATAACCTTCTAGCGAGCGTGTTATATTTGCACGCTCTGAGTAAAATATAACGATAAAACCTCCTGTCATGTATGTATGTAACTATATTGTAAGTATATTTTGTTAATGTAACTATATTTCGCAAATTAATTGTTATTTTTATTAAAAACTGATAACACTTATTTAACATTGGCACTGAATTGTATTGTTGTCTATAAAACAATGAAGTTCGCACACACAAAGCAAATTATGGCAAGGACAACGATTATTAATCGTTGTGGATGCCAAGTTTTTATAACGCTATTATCGGCAAAATTAAGTTTTCATCAAATTTTTATATTGAATAGTAGTATCATTTGCTATGCTATTTGTTATTGTGCTCGTATTGCTAACAGCCGACTCCAATGGAGGAACATCGCAATACGTGTGGCTGCCCTGGAAGCGAACAGCGACGACGAGACGCAATCCTGTCCATCGACAGCCACGACCACTCTGCCAAGAGTGTCCGATTAAGAAGAAGAATCATTTGAACTTTACATGGTTAAGAACAAATGTTGGATATGATTAGACGATTTAAGATTCTCTTCAGTTTCGCGAATATTGTTTACACGAGTATTCTGAAAATAACTTATTAGTTTATTAATTAATTTGCATTAAATTATTAAGTTTCTTGCACTAAATTTTTCATACTCGATGCTAATTCGTAATGTCATCGTACATGTACCTATTCTTCCTTAATAAATCGTACTAATTTAAAACTATAATCGTAATTGGAATCATTTCCGAAATTTTGTATTTTTCATTATTAAAACTGTCTTGTGGCGAGTGAGGTGTCAGGCCTTAGGACCATAATCGTAATTGGATTTTATTTAAAAAAAATTTTTTTGTTATTAAAACTACGTTTCTTGTGGCGAGTGAGGTTTCGGGCCCACTTTTTTAAAGGTTGCCAACGGTTGCCTAGCGAACTGGCAGATCATCAGGTGGAGTGCCAGTTCGCTAGCAATCTTCTAATATTTAAAAAAAAAACGCGAATGTGAACGCATGTGGCAATCTGGTACGGCACCTGCTTGTCCCTATCCTGGGGCATTTTGGTGTCGACCCCCTCCGGGAACGGCTTGACCAGCTCCGGCTTCTCCTTGATCTTCTCCATGATGAAATCCAGCACCATCATGATACCGTCCACCGACCCGGTGATCAGGCACGCGCGCTCCGTTGTACCTGCGGAAGGGAACATCTCAAGTCACTAAAAATAAATAATGATTAAACAATAAAATTATAATCATCACGGTTTGATAGCATTGTAGTTACGCGATTTTTTGTACGATCTAAAAAAATAATAATTTAAAATGTGACGGTAGCCAGGGCTATGATATTCTGACGTCCAACAACTCAGTCTGTCCCATGAGCGCTGAAAAGCTTGCGAAACTTCGAGAGTTAAAATTGAAAATAAACGCGATATATCGGTAAAAATAGCTCAATTTAGTATAATCATAATGGTATTCCAATATAAAAGAGTACCGAAACACGTAAAATTTAAATTCCAGTTAAGTTACGCAAATTGTTATGTTTAAAAAATTCGATTTTCCGGTAGTACTTAGAGCTTGCGATTCAAGTTTATTGCTAACCTAAAGTAGATTTAGTGAGGAAAGCTTACTAGATCCATTACTTGTCGCTATAATAGGGAAACCGTACATCAATGCAACAATCATTATCTCTTTCTCTTGTAATTTTGAGTCTTTCTGCGACTACTAAGGCCGGCAACGCAATTGCGACTCAACCGATGTTGCAAATGTCCATGGGCTGCGGTGATCGCTTGGTGATCCGCATGCTCGTTTGCCTCCTATTCCCATAAAAAAAAGACTACAGTTCAAATAGAGACAGCCATTTATTGATAGGGTATACTTACATAAAGTACGCCCAAAAAAAACTGCGAAAGCCTTTGTTATTATTCGGTTTGCGACTAAAAAGTACGGTGGTAATGGAAAAATTCGTTCCGCCCAGAGATGTCTGGCGACCGTGGGAACTCGTCCGAAGCTCGTGTCGTGGGAGAATGAGCACAGGGCTCCGGTGGGAGATAAAACAAGGCGAAGTTCGTCAGTAATACGCGTCTCGATGCTGGCCTTCTGTACCGAATGGCTGAATGGCTATACAAAGTTTTTGTGGTTAGACAACAACTTTGGAAAAAAAAAACTAAAAAAAAAATTGTGTGGAAGGTATCCCCAAGGTGGTAGTAAGTCCCAACGACCAGAAGATCTATTGTGGTCTTCCCTTTGAAATCATTTCCCCAGGTCATTATCCTGTGTTGTAAGGACGTTTAACACAAATAATTTTCACCTGGACAAACAACCAGATCCGAAACAATTATCTGTGGGTCACACAAATAGTTGTCTCGCGTGGGGTTCGAACCCTCGGGCCCCGGCACCGAAGCCAACACCTTGGCAACTGCGTCACGGAGTCACCTCAAACATTTTATGAAAATAATAAGTTTACGAACGCTTAATCGACTGGATACTGCGACTTGGGTTTACTCGAGTCTCATTAATTTATTACAAATCTTTATCAATATCAAATCATTCAAATTTAACAACATAAAAAGCGGACTTACGCCTTAAGTCATTCTGTACAAGGAAAAACAACACCTCTAGTTGAAATAAACATTGTAAATTACTCAGATGTCGCCAAGCATTGCTAAATTGCTATAGATGAAAAGTAGATGATTGAGATTTTTGACTCGTCAGAATATCGGATGAATTCTCGTCCGTATCTTAGTATCGTAAATGCTTAGGCACAATTTACTGTACTCTCTAAAATTAAGATTTGTATAATTTTTTAAAGGAGAATTTTGTAATTGGGATATAAAAGATATCGCCTATATCGACATACACCGATGACGTTGACAACATCCGAAAGTGTGTCATGAAAAAAAGCCCAATTTTCAAAAGGTTGTCAACGCTTCTGCAACCCTCGGGTGTGGCAGATGTCAATGCGCGTTGGTATTTACTTAACATCAGGTGAATCCGTCGGCTCGTCTATCACATATCACATTAAAAAAAAAAAAGGACTGGCGTGCAGTGGAAGTAATATATTTCTGCATTTCGTCTGGCGGGTGAGTATCCGGAGACCACTTTACCAAAAGGTGGCAACGCTTCTGCGACCCTTCGGGCGTTGCAATGTCCATGGGCGGCGGTTATCGCTTAGCTCGCTTGCCATCTCATTACGTACATAAAAAAAATCGACGCGTCTAATAAAAAAATCTGTATAAATTGCGTTAGGCTTAAAAGGCGCGAGAGCTGCTGACATTCGATGAACGAATCCAATATGCCAGTGGCAGGTTGCGCAGTAATTTCGCAATAGTGTGGTTACGACACGCATTCCGTGGGGGACGGTTAGCGTTTCGCTAAATGAACTCTAGAGCGTATTGCTGCGGACAAAGAAGCCGTCGTGGGGCTTCCGACGGCCGCGTAAAGACCGTCAAACAAGGCGACAGTGTTATAAATAATCCTTGCTTTACACATTTCTATGATGACTCCGTCTCTCCGTCCGTGTCATCAAAGAAAGATGTAGAGAGAACGATACAAGAACATACAGAAAGGTATTGACTTCGGTGCAGTGGGTCTTGGGTTCGATTCCCATATGTGAACACTATTTGTGTGACGCCGATGACGTCACAGCGGAAATCTTTCGAAATTTTCTCGCTGAATGATTGAAGTAATAAAAGAACTTAGATGTTCGCATCTATGTTATATAACAACTATAACACTGCGCTTTTTGACTCGCTACAATTTGCCGCACGACACGGCAGAACGCGACCCAGAGACTCGTAATTTTACCAGTGCTAGCGTAAAGGACCTCACAACAAAAGCGCCGAGTATTACTCGTAATTGTATTCGAAATTTTCCAAATGCAAAAGCACTGCAGCCCTCAATTTCTCACTCGAAACACGAGTAATACATAGTACGGCGTACCCTCTAAAATCATTTAAAACGAGTCCCGGCCCGGCGCTATTACTTTTCAGGTCAACCTGGGGGTGTGTGGTTTGAAAAAACCTAACGCATTTCTAGATGTAAAAACTGTCCCGCCGAATTACTTTCGCTGGTTCTACTAGGGTCAGTCAGTCTTTTCCGAACTGGTCGTAGTAGAAATTGAACAATCAATAAATAAAAATAAGTGTAATGCTTCTATATTGAATGGAGATTTTTGTTTTGGCTGGATCACCTAGCCTGAACCTAGTTTACGGGCGACTAAGCTCGAGGGTCCCCGAGGGAGCCTCGGTTCCGGCCTTCACGCTCCTATTATTAGTTTCATCGGTTTGTGAGGCCTTCAAGCTCTTACTTCGCTTTGGCGGACGCTCCATGCAGTGAGTAGGCTCAAGGGCCCGTGAGGGCCGAACCTCGGTTCGATCGGTAGCTGAAGTCTGGACTACTTTGAATTGATAGCTTAAACGGTCGTTACACAACTCGCGGGGATTCAAATGCGAATTGGACAAGGCTACCGGAGCGTGTAGGGGTGCGGATTAGCGCGCCCCTCACCCGGGGGGCGGGGTTTGAGGCTGTATGACGTCACTAATGCGAGCTCGCATCGTTAAATTGTGGGTTAAGGGCCCCCACTCAACTCCGCAGAAACTGTGCCGCCGGCTGTGAAGGGCGCGGAACGGGTGCAAGCAAAGAGAACCAGGCGTGGTTCGATTAGATTTTAAGTTGGGCGGTTTTTGAAAGAAATCGGTGAAAGTTTTTTTTTCATTGAAGCTTGCGAGCAAGCAGTCGTCTGGACCGATGTTCAAGTCAAAGTCAAATAATCTTTATTTAATATAGGCTTAACTTAAGCTCTCACTGAACGTGAACAAAAAATCTACGGGTTCACTTAACTAGAACAGAGAAGAACCGGCAAAAAACTCTGCGGTCCTATTCTTTTTGTTATTAATTTTTTTGTGATGCAATTATACAAACTTATTTAGGTATAAAATCAGCAGCAGCCAGAGTTCTTGCAAGTGCAGAGCAAGAGTCATTTCCACACATCCTTGTCCTCAATGTATTCTTGGACATTATAGTAAGCCCTTGCTTTTCAGGTAGCTTTTACATATTGTTTGAAATTTTATTATAAAAGTTGATGCATCTACCAAGAAACGACTTTCTGGTTTTTTGCCAGTCTAAACATCGGTACTTCCAGAGTGTCATCACGGCCCCGACGCGATGTGGAATGTTTTTTCGGAAGTAGGTGGATAATATTACGTATATACATGATATTCTCAAGTATGTAAAGCGAGGGGAGCGTTAAAACGTTTATTTGCTTAAATAAATGCCGTAGTGGCTCACGTGGACCCAAGTCATAGACTGCCCGTTCAGTGATGGACCACAACAGGTGCGTTGATCACAATGCGTTGCCAATCATTGAAGTGGGCACCGATTACCTCGCCTTCAAAGCAATCATGGGTAACACGTCGACAATCGTAGTCGGAAATTTTCGTGTTGATGTCAACTCTACGAGCCCGCTGTCCGACTACTTGCCCATTCCGAAGATCGCATTCTACTATTGCAGATCAGATTCAAACTGGTATAATACATGATTAACTTGGTTTTGCAACCAACTTGTTTTCCCATGGACATCCCAAACGCTACAGCACTCAAAGCTAGTAACGTGCCAGCCTCCTTTTTTATGTGAAAAGTCAAACGAGCAGACGGCTCACCCGATGTTAAGTGAATACCGCCGCCCATGGACATCTGCTACACCCGAGGGTTACAGATGCGTTGACAACCTTTTGAAGATTGGGCTCCGGCTACCTCACTCACCAGACGAAACGCGAAAGTATTTCTCATACTTCCACTTTACGCCGGTCTTCTGTGAGGTCGTGGTATTTACCCGGACGGGCCTGCCCATACGTGCAACAGCTGAGGCTGCTGCGTGGCCCTACCACCGTACCTTTGAATGATCCGAAGACAAGCATGCCTCGGCAAATCCTTACGGGCGTAATGAAATACATCTGTAGCCTGTCAGTTCGAATACAAAAGAGCGACGAGCCATTATGCAATTTCGCACTTGCATGCAACCGGTCATATGACTCGCCGACCTTGAGCTTCGCAGCAGTCGATGGGAGCGAATGTAAACACTAACTCGTCTAGCGTAACGATCATTTTCGCTTGTAACCGTGTCACTGACGCTTGGTAGGCGGCCAATGCAGCCAATGTAATTAAGAGCAGTGGGCCAAAAAACTATATCTAGTT